ATTAAATGGGGAAGAGAATGTTTGTTTAATAAATGGTGCTGGCAAAACTGGAGATCCATTTGCAGAAAAATGAAACAAGATCTGTACCTCACAACATGCTTTGTCTAAGGCTAATCCATTCTCTTGTGCTTAGTCTCCTTCCATGAACCTTTATTTAGGTTTCTAATTTTGAAAATAATTAACTGACTATCTTTAGGATCACTAAGATATTTATGAACATCTTTGGTTAATACAGAAAGTACGTAATAATAACACAGTGAAGCCACAGGTCCTATGGCGCCAAAAAGCACATGTCCCCCCTTAAGCCAGAAAAATGCTGGGTGACCCTAGGCTAAAGTAGAAATCCCAGCCTCCAATTTGCCTGATCCTGGAGGTGAGCCAGCTTCAGTCCTAACCTTGATGCCAGGTATTAGCCTAGGTGGTAGCCAAATGACTGTTGTACTGTAGAGTTCTTAGAATTTCATGGTAAATTTCCCCCTTGGTTGACATAGTTCCTGTTCTGATCATGAACAGTCTTTCCAAGGGCCCATTCCAGTGTGCTCCCTGTTGGCCAAGGTAGAATTTCGGTCTGCTCCTACTTTTCCTCTTCCAGCTGATTATGGAAAATACTAGTTACTGCCCAGTACATGCTGTGGAGCCCATCACTTTCCACCTCCAAGTCTCTCCATGCTAAAATGACCCTCCTTTGACACTATCATTCCCTAGTACTCTTTCCCTTTATCCACCACTCCCCCAATTGTGAATCCAGTGGGTGCTTTTCTGTCCATATCTTTGTTAACTGCCTGCCTTGAGGCACTTGCCTGCTTTGATTCCTGTGAAGCTACTCTTGAGATTCCCCTTCTACTTCTTTGGTCTTCTCAGTCTTCTGGATTCTTACTCTTCCGTCTGTCTGTTAAATGTTGGTATTCATGATTTTTTCCTTGACTTTATCCCCTCGTTTTATACTCTCCTTGGGTATTCTCACCACCTTACACAGCGTCAGATACACTTATAGACTGATGAGTCTCAAAATGTAGATGTGCCTACATTTCTCTCTTGCTCTTCAGAACTGTGCACTTAACTGCCTACTCTACCTCTTTACCTGGCTATCCTACCTCAGACCCAGCAGAACCAAGGCCAAATACATTGTTTCTATACTGTAGAGAATACTGCAAATTGATTCATTCAGCACCACTGCAACACTCTTCTATTATGCTTTCCTATACACTAGTATCTGTAAAGTTAGAGTACATACTGCAGCCCTCCCCACTTGGCAAAAAGGACTTGGGGACAGCATCTACTGACCACCTTTAACTTCACAAGAGGAAAACAAAATCACCAACAGCCTAAGGCTTATTCTTTTTTTTTTTTAATTGTGATTTGGGTGAAAATTTACAGAGCAAATTCACTTTCCATACAGCAGTTCA